TATCTCCACAAATACACGAAAAATTACGCTGGTCTGATCCAGCCATTGTCTTCATTGCTGAAGAAAGACATCACGTGGTCGTGGACTCCCGAACATCTGTCAGCCTTTAATGCAGTGAAGAAAAGCTTGGCGGAGGCCCCAATCATGGCGCTTCCAGATGACTCAAAGCCATTCCACGTTGTTTGCGACGCGAGCGACTTCGCCATCGGCTGTGCACTGATGCAGTTCGACGACGAAGGTCGCGAACGCGTCGTGAGTTACCAATCCAGACAGATGAAGCCCGCTGAGAAGAATTATCCGGTCCACGACAAGGAACTCCTTGCGATGCGCTACGCACTGATCAAATCCAGAGTGTACTTACTCGGTGAGCAGACATTCGCGATCTACACAGATCACGCGTCGCTGCGAACAGCGACGAAGAGCCCTCATCTCTATCAGCGCATGGCACGATGGCTGTCATTCTTCTCCGAGTACAACTTCGTCGTTCACTACAAGCCAGGCAAGAATAACATCTTTGCGGATGCCCTATCTCGGCGCCCCGATTACGATCCACGCCGAGATTTGGGTCGTCAGTCACTTGAAGACGCGGACGACGACGAATTGGACTGCGCCACATGTGTGGCTGCAGGTGTGAACCTGATGACGGCGGTATCTCCAATACTTCCCCTGCGGGAAGAGATCTCTGCCGCGTATCGAGATGACTTGATATATGCCGGTATCCTGGAACACCTTCGCACACCAAGTGATGCCACGCTAAAGACACTGAGCCGTTCCACGCGCGACCAGATTCACAGATACCAACTTGACGGTGATCTGCTGATGTACAGTATCGATCGATTTGATGCTCCTCGCGTCGTTGTCCTCAACGACCCCGATCTACGCGCAAGAATTATACACGAATTCCATGACGCTCCAGTGGGTGGCCACTTGGGCCGTGAGAAGACTTTCGCAGCGGTATCCCGCGACTTCTACTGGCCTCACCTATACAAGTGGGTGCGCAAGTGGGTCCGCTCCTGCGAAACTTGTCAACGCGTTAAACCGTCACCGTCATCGCAAGCTCTGCTGCGTTCTCTCCCTCTGGCGACAGAAGCGTGGCGCTCTGTGTCAATGGACTTCATATTCGATCTCCCACCCGATACTGACGGTCGTACTGGTGTTCTGGTCTTCGTGTATCGCTTTACCAAGATGTGCCATCTCGTTCCGGTTCCGGACTCAATCACCGCGGCCGATACCGCGGTGCACTTTGTCGACGCTGTCTTCCGACATCACGGCCTTCCTGAATCAATCGTCTCTGACCGCGATTCCCGATTCACATCGGCGTTCTGGACGAAACTCTTCGACCTCCTGGGCACCAAACTCCTCATGTCGACGGCGGCGCATTCGGAGACTGACGGGCAAACGGAACGCGTCAACCGCGTGCTAGAAGATGTTCTGCGCAGTCACGCCCCGTCCTTCGAGAACTGGAGCTCCTTCCTGCCTCTTGCGGAGTTTGCACTCACCAATGCCGAACACGCGTCGACGGGATCGACTCCATTCTTCGTCAACAACGCGCGTCATCCACGTGTCCCCGCACAACTTGCTGTGGGCCAACCCACGGCGACTGATGGCTTCACTCTGGAGGGGGAGGAATGTGATAACCCTGCCCAACCGGTTCCGATACTGGTTCAACCACCGGTTTCCGGTGAGACAACGGTTCTGCCGTCTACGAGTTCAGCTACTCCTGCAGTAGACATCAACGCGGTGACGCGTTTACAGTTGAAGAAGATCCTCGCACCCGCGCAATCCACGTCGTCGCCGTTAGTTGACTGGACACACCGAACGCTGATCGCTCCAGCACAGCCACACTCGACTGTGGCTAACTACGCGCCGAAACCTCCAGCGCGACCCGCTGACAAGGCAGCGGTATCCGACTTTTGTCCTTCATCGCCAATCGGTTACCCGATTCGTCCGTGACGCGCTACAACTCGCTGTTGACAAGCAGAAGGAAAACGCTGACAAACGTGGCCGCAAGAACACAAGTGCATTCAAGATTGGTGAGCGTGTATTACTCTCAACGGATGGAATTCGTACCTCTGCTATTACGAACCTAGGCGCGAGCAAACTCGCGCCGCGCTACATTGGGCCATTCAAAGTACTACGAGTTATGGGTGATGCCTACACGCTAGACATTCCTACGACGCTACGACTACACCCGACGTTCTACGTCGGGTGACTTAAGAAGTATCTTCCCGCGATGATCCCGGAGGCGGAGCAGGAGCATGAATTGAGCGGCCCTCGCGATGAGCCTGTCGATCCAGCGTCCCATCTGTCCCAGTTCCCCGCTCGCGCGGAAGAGCTCCACCCCTCGGTCCGCCAAACACCTGCGCCTCCAGACTACTCAGTCGCTGCAAGAGTTCACGATTCGACTGCTGCAGACTACTCGCCGTCGCCTCGGCGCTCCGAGAGCTCTCATCCGCCCGCTCGGCCTCCTCCTGTGCGTCTCGAGAAGTGTTCAGCGCCTGCTCAACGTTGACCTGGTCAACCAGGTCATGTCGATTTCCACCGCGACGGTCCTCCGCCCATCGTTGACTCGAATAGAGATACGTGCTGGATCGTGGACCGTATTGTTGATCACGAAGATCCTCCCCGCGCGCGTCACTTGACCAAGTCGTCGGCTCAACGCGCGGCTCCCGCCGCGCGGAAGTATAAGGTACGATGGCTCGGGTTTCAACCTGCTGATGATACGTGGGAACCTCGAACCAACTTGCTTCGTGTCGTTCCTGATGTCGTCCACGACTACGACTTTAGCCTTGAGTCAAACGCGGCCGCGAGCGACCTCGCGGCGATCGAGAACGCGATCGACTACGCGCCCGACGAGACGTCGAATGCGCCGGAGACGGGCTCCGTCGCGAACGCTGTCGGCGCGAGCCGCCGCGAATAGCCGCCTGGGTGAACTCGGAGAGTGAGCGCTTATACTTCTCGATCCAAGCGTGTTCGGTCGGCATGAGCGGATACTCGACAACATGCTGATCCCACTCAGCTTGCGTCGGGCGTCGCCCGATGTCACACGAACTGCAACCTTCGCGTACGTTGACATAGCACAAACGGTCTTCGGTCTAAGCGTCGTCGCAGACTTTCAGGCGCAGATCGCCGAGTGAATGCTCGGCTTGTAGGGCTTCGCGATCACCGAGCCAGCCGACGACACTTTCTCCAGCCTCTTGCATCCGATTCCACCGCCGGATGAATGCGCACCATAATCTCTGCAAAGCTTCGTACGACGCGCCGTCGAGCGTTTTGTTCCGGAGACGCCTGAAGCGCCGAAAGTGGTCCTGCATGGTGTCCAGCGCGTCCGGGGTCACCGCCCCGGACAAGTCGTACAGCGCCCACGGCTTCATATCCTCGTTCATCACGTCGGGCCAAACCCCAGGTCGACTCACGCTCTCAGGTGCGATATCAGCGGTCCACCCACTGTTCAGCGTCGTCGCCGACGCTGGAGCCGTCCGCGTTGTTCCGCTTCCTGTCTAGTTCGCCGCCCCCGTCTGCTGCGCCATGTTGTTCTCGTCTGCGCAAGTTGTATTGTGCTGCTCCTGGGCTTCGCAGGAGCTCCCGCCCGTCAAGTTCTCAAGCGTTCTCTTCTCCGCCTTTTCTCAGTTTTTCCCGATTGTTCTCCGAAGTGCACCCACGTTAGGTGATTGCTGTCTTAAGAGGGGGGTGATGTAATAGGCCCTCCCAAGTTACATATGTAGGTAGTTTTATAGGGTTCTTTGTAATGGTTCACACCATTACATAAGTAGGTAGATTTGCGTTACAAAAGTAGGTGCAGCAGTACACGAGTAGCGTGTGCTGAACTGCCGTCACCTTATTGGTTGAAATATGGAGAGCCAGACCCATAATCAACCAATAAGGAGTTGACGTGCATTTGAGTGGTCAGGGCAAGCCGCTCTGGACCTAAATAAAAACAGAGTTGATTTTCCTCCAGACTAAGTACTTGGTTTCAGTATCACTGGACTTATACGCTTCCTCATCACTACGTGTAAGCAAGTAACGGACACCCCAGGCCCGTTACATTTGGACCGAGCGGTGGTGATGCATCAACGCGGCTATGGAAGCACTACCCGGGGCAAGCACTTCTTCCTACTCTAACAGCACTAAGCATTGCGTTTGTTATGGGATAGGTTGAGTAACTACAGTCGTGCACCTCGTTTTCGGCCCCGGTATGGCTTAATAACCTGCACAATCTAATGATTGGGCCACATGCATTGCGCAAATGAGTTGCCCATCTCCTTTGGACCAAATAACCTCAAGGAGGGATGAAACGCCGCACTTCCGCCACGATGTATCAGCTCAATCACAGTCACCATACAACAGCTCATTATAAATTTTGTCGCAAAAGGCCATGGCACCTCGCCCGTCCGCCTATTCTACGTTGAATCTCGCCAATAAGCAAACATTGTGCAGGAAGGCAGCCACAGAGCCATCATGGACACTGTCTCTGTTTTACAAAGGCGAGACGTATACCCCCGTCAATATTAATACAGCGATGAAGTGGTGCTCAGAAGGTTGGCAAGACGTATCGACAATGACCATACGAAACTGTTGGAATCACACTGGTATTGTGTCGAAGATGGATTTGAGATTTGTACTTAATTAAGGTAATACAAAGTAGTACATTTGGATTCCATCTGCTCCTCTATAAATATTCGCAGCTCGTAGACTCTATATGGTCCACCCCGCCGAATACGAGGTGCACGACTGTACTTTTAAAAAAGCAGATCGTTACTAATGTCGTTTAGAAACAGATGTTCAACGGCTTGAAAATTAGTATTTGTATGGTTTAGCTTACCTAAATCAATAAACTGAGCTTCAGAACCAGCCATGCAGTAGGAATAGAGAACCCAACCGAATGAAAATCTGGGGACGGCACTCACTTTTAAATTGGCCGCCTCGTCTGGTGGTTACCTACAGCTTCAGCTACAGCTATGCTCAAAACAACAGCATTTCAGATACTTCAGGCGACTGCCATGAAGCAACAAGAGATGAACGTACAAATTGGCTTGGAAAAGTTCTCCGGTCGGCAAATGGAGTATGCTACTTGGAAAGACAGGATACCCACGCACGTGGCGAAGATGGTCTTGGACGTCGAGAATGAGCTCTTTGAAAAAGATTTTTCGGACCCAACGTTGGTATGCGCGACGTTTTGAACGTGACGCCACCACACCTTTCGGATGAAGACGTGGAAGCGGCTCCAGAAAAAAAGCGAAAGAATATGCGAAGGGAGGACATGGTATGGGGGAAAAACTAACGAGGGCCCTCCTAGAGAGGGCCCTCACACAAAACGGGCAGAGGTATTACCGTTAGTGCTGCAAATAGACCGTTAGTGACGCAGCCGTTAGTGATGCAAAAAGACCGTTAGTGATGCAAAAAAATCGTTAGTGATGCAATTCACAGCTTGTGACGTAAATAGATCTTCCAAAGTGCTATCTGAACGAAAACAGCTTCAGTCTTCAAATGGCTTCCAACCCAAGACTTGAGTTTCCGCCCGACGGCTATCTAGTGCTGCCCCTCAATCTCACGCAAGCAACTATTTCATGTGTGCTTCGACAAGCAAGACGATCTGATTATATTAGTGTTTTCCGTGAGGTGGGTGGCGAAGAAGACGACACATTCCGAAGCCAATCACGTCAAAATTGTCTTTCGCCACAGATGAAAAAGCTCCACAGGAAAATTGAGGAGGTGGTTACACTAGTTGATGCAAACTTTCGAGCACAAGTTTATTCATTTTTTTACTCGCGCCCTGGTGGGCCTGAGCAAGGACCGCATGCAGACTTCACAAGTAGCGACGTGGAAGCTGTCAAGATGCGTTTTCCCCGCAGCATTCCAGCTAGTGTCGTCGTCGCGCTCGAAAGTGGTACACAATTAAGAGTTTACGCCGGATGTTACACTGTGGCACGCGAGGAGCGATCCCGGTTGGTGGATATCCCTATTGGTTACTGCATTGTTTTTCGGGGCGATCTTCTTCACGCTGGAGTAAGCTATTCACAGCACAACTACAGAGTCCACTGCTACTTGCAATTTGAAGGTGTTTCGTGGGTACCTGATATTGTCATGTCTGCTTTAACCTCAAGTTTTACCTGTCAATACTGCGGTTACGCTGATGCATCTTCCAATCGAATGCGTAACCATCGCTACTTTTGCTTATCTAACCCAGTCGGACAACAACACCGGGTGATTCGGCAGCAACTACAGAACGCAAAGGGAACCTACTCGTGTGATCTGTGCCAAAAATCGTTTGCAGTGAAAAGTAGTTTGAGGAGTCACATTAGCCGCAAACACTCTTAACCCAATAGCTCAATTCAATTTATATTGTTATTTTTATAATATTTTTTATTCAATTTTCTATAGACTTTGTTGAAGTGTTTTGAACACTTCAACTTGTTTGATATCATTGCAAAAATTGCACCGCATTTCAGTATCTCGATGTGTATTTTAATAAAGAAAAAAACAGATATACAAATTTAGCGAAGGTGACAGCCTTCTTAACAACTGAAGCCTTGTGCATCCATCAAACAGTGGTAGGTATTGACAGCTCTGTTTTCATCTGTGGCTGCGTATGGAGTGCGCCCTGCATACCCCCATGATCGTGCCGGGAGATACGGCTCTAAGAACGCAGAGGTCTGGTGAGTGCCAACAATTTCAAGTCTTGAAGGGGTCGAAGCGTGTTGTGGCGGGGATGCTGAATGATTTTGGTCTACCCTCTCGCTGTAAGTCGGTTCCCGCGCTGTACCGAGAGTGCCATGGTTGGCCTTGTGTGATCGCTGTGTAGATGATGCGCGTCGGTTTTGCCGGATCGGTGCAGGTTCTTGAATCCGCGATTCCGATACCTCGATGCTGTCGTGTCGGACCCACCAGTGTTTGTCGAAGTCCTCCGGAACAAGACATCGTTCACCGTTCGACTCAATGACTGCAATTAATTGGTGGAGACATGGTCGTCCATGTACACCACGAAAAACACCAGAGCAAACAGACTGCTTCGTCCGAGAATTGACAATCTTCTGAGCGTCGCGCCACAGCTCATGTGTAGCCGTGAGAGCCCACACCGTAATTACGCGAACAACACGAGCGTATCGGTTTTTCTGCAAAAGATATGGCGCACTAGTGGCGTTGTACTCATACAACCAACTTGTTCGTGATGCCGCAGCAACCCACCAACTTAGTAGAGACTTGAAAACCGTGTACAGATCTCCTTGGCTTGACTTTAATCTCGCCTTCACTGTCGCGTGTGTGCCTTCCACAGTGGATGTATCTCGGATACCGTAGTGTCGGTAGCTGTTGGTGCAGTATTTTACGATTCGTGTCTTATACTTCCACCAGTGTAGGTCGAGGTAGTCCGAAACTACCTTCGACTTCAGCTGTAACTCTCTGCATTTGGCTTCAAAGGCTTCTGCAGTCTCTGCATCAATCGCTTCGAAGAATGTCGACATAAATGAATCGGTTTCCCAGGAGTTTTCTTTCCTCGGTTGCCCAGGAGCGGGGTTGACGACATCAACCTGCCCGAGATGCAATCTTGTTTTAGCTTCCACGTTCTTCACCATATGCCACCTACACACCATTGAAGGTACGTCAGGGAACACCCTATCGAGGGCGTTCATACAAGCTAAATCGCGATCCGTTAATATCACGCGGGGCTGGTCAATCTCATTCTCCACCAGCAAAAGTTGTAGCATGTTGAATGCCCAGACGTAATCCTCCTCGGTCTCTCCTGGCAGCCAGCATTGAGCAACAGGCAGTACTGTGTTTGCCCCAGTAATTGTAATCACATTGAGCAATGGCAACTTGTACTGGTTTGTGTTGTAGGTACAATCGGTTATCAATACTCCACAATGCTGCCGGTACAATGCGGTCGTTGCAGGATGAGCCCAAAAGAGGTGTCTGAGCTGGTGAGTCTCTGGGTTTGTTGTCCATCGATGAAAGAACTTGTGTTTATTGAGCAGCTCAAACAAAGCCTCGATCGAGGTGTGGCTAGCCAGTTCATGGCGGCGCGTCGCATTCTTGGCGTTTGCAATATCCTTTGCGATCACTAGAGAGTTGGGGTCGACAGCAAGAAGCGTGGCTTGAATGTCTGATACAGAGATACCAGCAGCAGTTTGTAGACTAACTAGGTCACTAGCAGTGTCAGCGACAACAACAGTTGTGGAAGCTGCAGCCCGGCGACGATGTGCTGCATGAACCCGGGCGTCACGAGAGGGCACGTGGTTGTGGTGTGAGCTTCGTGCCGTGTGAACGATTTTCCAGGGGCCAGTCGGGTGCTGTTTGCTCGCTGCACGGATACCAATTCTCATAGGGCACTCTGAGCGCTTCGATCCCCGCAAAGGGCGCTGACGGTCGGATTCAGTTAGATTCTGTGTGTTCTTGGGCACACCGGCTCGGTCACACTCATAATTTTGCACCCAAACGTCTCCATCATCGTTGTAGCGTACACGGCGTCGAGATACATTAAAGCCGTGGCTTAAGGTCCATGCATGTACTGCGGCTTCTGCTTCGTCATGAGACGAGTAGTTGGCTTCAGGTGGAGGTGGAATTAAAAAGAGCGGGGGTTTCTCCTTCTCCATTGTACGGATACTTGGTTTGTGGTACTCGCTACTGAGCTCCTGTACACGCCAGCCATTCGCGTACGGCAACCCCATCCACAGTAATGGTACTCTTACAACCTTTCAATATGTTAACAACCTTTCGTCTGGTTGGCAACGCTGTACCGGTTACAGTACGGTAACGCTGTACCGGTAACAGTACCGGTAATACCTCTGCCCGTTTTGTGTGAGGGCCCTCTCTAGGAGGGCCCTCGTTAGTTTTTCCCATGGTATGGCGAAAGGCCGATGCTGACATGCGCCATGTTCTCAACGCGACTCTACCGAACTCGTTTCTGTCGTCTTTGCCTGACGATGAGAAGAAGATTGGAGGTGTGCGTGGTTTAGCAACTCCTTGAGCGGAAATTTGGGATCCCTGACGCAAGTGAGTTGGTGTAGTTGGCGAGCCGTTGGAATCAAATTCTCAGCTCAAATTAAAAGAGCACCATAATTCTGTTCTTGCAGCTGAACCAGGCGCGGAACGAGATGAATAGGAAGTCAAGGCAGGTCCTCGGAAGGGGCATGATGATGGAGACGATGATGTGCGTACAATTTTTGGCGCAGCTTCTCTATGAAATATGGGAATCGTCTATCGAGCTGATGGGCAAATCGTTCACGTCGGAAAAGCTAGAGAACGCCTCTTTGGTGACAAGTCTAAGAAAGCGATTGTCCGTCAGAGCGGGGCAAGCTTAGCGACCTAGATCAGTTGCGTGAAGAAAATCGCCAAAACGCGTAAGCCAGAGGTGAATACCGGTGTTCAAGGTCAAGGGTGCTTTTACTGTTTCGGAGAAGGACATCAGAAGGCACAGTGTGAGCGCAAGAAGGCGGACCGGGACCCATCTTGTGAAGTTGGACCCATTTTCAGGTCCAATATTCAGGCCTAACCGGCGAAAACGACGACAAGCAATACCACGAAAATTGCAACGGTGCAGCAAGTGGTCAAGAAGCAAAAAACGATGCTCGAACCACCAGCGGATGTTGAAATGGATGAGGGGCTCAAGCTACCGGAAGGTGAGATCAGCGATTCGAAGATGAACAGCGGACATTGTCTTGTCACTTTCGGACAAGTGGATCCAATGGTACGTAAGAATTATGGTTCATATTTAAATTGTTGCATCACTTAGCAGTTTTGGATGGACTGTGGATTGTTGATACAGGAGCTGGATGCGGAATAAGCTCAGACAAAAGCTAGTTCGAGATGCACCAGCCACAGATTTGAGTATGGAAACGGTAGTAAGTCAGAGACTACGCTAACCGGTTCAATACAAATGCGTGTTTCATGTCCCATTTGTAAATCTTAAGTTTAAAGATAAGAAACATTGCGTTTGATCGTCCATGCGGGAGTAACTTTAGATAGTGCCTGTCATTCGGCTAAGCAAAGATATAATCACATGCAGTTTCAGGGTGGTGAGTTTTATACTTGTTGAATGAGAAAGGTCAGCTTCTATTTGCGGAAGTACAGAAAGGAGCGGTGAACTAAATGCATTTATCTAAGTTAAGCAAAGCTAATACGTTTAGTAAGAAATATTCGAAAGAGCAGAAAAATGCTTGACGAGGAAATTACACCTCAGACTAGGTCGTGTATATAAGGCAAGACTAATGACAGTTTTGCACATCAGCTAGTTAGTGGAATATCTCAGATTAGTCAATCTGAGCTCACATGCCTACCATTCTTTTGCACCATATGTGAAGCTGCAAATTCTACCAGAATGTCATACCGTAGTATAATTGGATCGCGAGTTAAGCAGCCACTTTGCACTCGGATATTATGGGAAATATGAAAGTAGATGGTACGTATGGTAGAATTGGATTTCACTATACATTGGCAATTGTAGATGATGTGCAGCCACCAATTGGATTTATGCGATGAAATCAACCAAAGAAGTGTACACACATGCTATGTTGTAAGTTTGATTTTGTTGCTTACAAAAGCAATTTGATCTATATACAGTGAAAATGATAGAAAGTGATGGTGTACGGAAATTGTCAACCAAAAATAAAAAAATCTTCAATTAAAAGATTGTTTCTGAGAAATTAAATGTAGAAAGCTAGGAGGAGAGCAGAAGTGCTGGGAGCTGCCATCAGACATTAGCGAGGCAGGTTGAGAGCTCGCTTTTAACAGCAGCCATGCCAGTTTGGTAGTGGCTAGAAGCGATTAAGTACGCAGCAGAAGTGTTGAACAGAATGTCGACGTCTAGACTTGGAAATACATCGTTATATGAAGCACTTCACGGCAAGAAACTTGATGGTCGCCTATTTACCCAGAACAAAGAGAACAGATAAAAAGTTGAGGTCTCGAGGCTTAGAGTGCAAAATTCTTGGGCTTTCGAATGACTATAAGAACAATGTCCAAATTGGAAAGCACCCGACTTTTGTTTTGACAAGTTATTTCTAGATTTAAAAAAGGTCGATAAAAGAATCGCTACCGTGTCCAAATGAAAAAGCAGCCGACCTATCTCGTAGAATAAGCGATGGTACTTTTTTATGGACTGTCTCCTTTTCACTTCAACGTCAGCTCCGAGTCCGCATTTCTTGGACGCACACTTGACCGCGTCCGGGTCGTACACCAAGGTGGCTTCTGGCAGTAGCCCCGTGTATACCCCTCCCGACTACGAGGTCCGCCTTCCAACACCTTCTGAGGTGCCACGCGAAATCGCTCGGCGCTTAAAGCAAGCGCACAGCTCGCTAATTCCGGACACAAGCTTGCCGACAAGCAGTAGGCAACACAAGCGGATCAGACGGGAGGCTTCTTCTTGCGGCCATACTTTCTTGGGAGACAAAGCAGCATGTACCACAACCTCGACATCTATCGTGAGGCCATCCACTCATGCTAGCAAGCCAATCTCGAACAAATCCAGCGGAAGCATGTCGTCCTTAGCGGCTGTTGCCTCCGTTTATGCCACGACGTTCGCCTATAATGCAGCCCATCAAGCTAATGACGTGATCAGCTACCCTACGACGGCCACGCTCGCTTTCAGGTACGTGTCATCGTCTGCCAAGGGCACTAAAGCCCCCACTACTACGCTGAAGACGAAATCCAGACCAAGATCTGAAGAAGAAGCGGTCAAGGCAATTCGTGCTCAAAACACGAAGTCAAGCAAAAACAAATCGCTGGGGTCTGGCTCAGATGAGGATGGTAACCAACCTATGATGGATCATTCTGCTGACGACGCTGGCAATTGAGGCTCGATACGAGAACCATATAATTCGGAAGAGATTTGACACCACCAGCACGGACACAAAGGGAATGCGTGCAAAGTGGAAAGATGCAATTGTCGTTTTTCAGCGGTAAGCACTCGCTGAAGGAGTCTGGGGAGACGGGAAACCTAGAAATGTGAGTGTGAAGCAGTTTAAGAACAAGCTCAACTCTGTCCGACTAGCATACAAAATCAAAATAATGCTTTTGATTACGACAGGAAACCGAAAAGAAGGTGATGGTTCAAGCAGCGATGCCGACGATAGGAGCTCACCTTCTCTACGCCAGTATCCCGAGATGCCGCTTGACGTTTAGTTTGCGAAGAGATTGATGTGGATTCGGACAGCAATGACTCTGGTAGTGGTTCTAGCCGTCACCATTTGGTATGCGATCCATTAAACGTACCCCGTGTGTATCATGGTACACTTGGTCACGAACTGGCAGCACTTTGGCCACTTCTCTGCGACGGTTTTTCGGACAACCCCGGCTGTACCGGAGAAGCAATTATTGAATCCGGGCTTCCTGACTCGCCTGATCAACCATCCAACGCAGCCCATCATGAAGGCATCGACACTGATGAGGAGAGCGATTATTCTTCAAACGAAGCCTGAACGAGGGCCAAAGCAAAAGCCAAGTCAAGATCCAGCGCAAAGTCACATCTGAACAGCCCGCAGTCCAATCGACCCGTGGGCGTTGTCAGTACCAGCATCAGATACGGCTTCGATAGCATGGCCAACATTTTGTCTGCTCGTAGACAGTCAGAGAGTAGCATCGAAGAAGGGAGGTGCAATCGCTGGAGAGATTGGCAACCTCGATTGAACGATCTAATTCAAAACAGCAAGCAAACATGGAAGCTGTTCAACTGAGTGTTACCAGTTTTCAGCAAACAGTGCTTAGATCATGCAGCAAATGCTCGACCAGCTCCAGGACTCACGATCATGATAGTCCTCTCTCCAGCAGTTTTAAGTTTGCGTACTTTCCCAGCTCGTATTGAAAGCACTCATAACTTTCTTTGGCTATGTGCGAGCCTCATCGTCGCGGACGTATTTGAACCCAAACGTTGTCTCCAATATCGATTAGGATGTTGTGGAGAACCACCGCAGCACAAATCATACGCGCCGTTTATGGGTGGACTTGCTGAAGAATTTTCAAATATTTAAATTGGCCAGCTTAATGCAAAATTTCAAGAGGGATCGATTAATGCTATTTATAGCGCTCGATGACCTTCGGTGTAAAATTTGGTAATGAAGTTTTGAGTTATAAAAATCGTGTACATTTTGTTTTGTTTTTACATTTTGGCAACTAGAATCATTTTTAACTGTGCTGGAAAACCGTACTCGTGTTCTAAGATTATCCACGCCTTGAATGATCTAACCTATTAGGAACCAATAACCGCGGATTTAAAGTCCAGAGTGCTAACCATTACATCATAAGAGCACCTAGCTCAGACACACCACGCCCAATCCGAGACCCGCTCGAATCGCACGCAATTCACGTATTCACGGACATGCCACATGTGCT